TTTTTCTCCGGTACCAGGAACCGAACTCACGACCTTGCGCTTGCCAGGCAGGCGCTTTGCCGCTGAGCTAAATCCCCAGCCCCTAGATCCTTAATGACTCTCTTGAACTTGAATACTGATTGACATATTATTTATTAAATGTTTGTTCAAATAATTTTTATTTTTGTATTCTAAGGCATAAAAATCTAAACTATTTTTCTAAACAAACACGGACTGGTGGTTTTTTAATATCCAGTTTTTTTTTAATCATTATTGCGAACAGCCTGCCTCCCTATGATCAGAAATTACTGGTGAAAAACCAGACTTTGTAGCTGAACTGCTAGAAATCCAGGTACTTACTAAACCCAGGTACTTAGTAGTTGTGTGATTCTGGACAACTTATTTCATTTTCTGTGCTTTTGTTCATTTTCTGTCATTTGTTAATAGATATAAGAATCTCTAATTCACATTTATTTGTGAATGAATGAAGTAAAAATATGCAAAATATTTAGAATAGTACTTGATAAAGTGAAGATGAAATATGTTTCTTTTTATCATTATTGCTTTAATTCACCTCAGAAAATAAAATGTAATATCTAGCCCTGAGTGCTAGCTTTTATCTCCCAAGTGATCAACTGTCTAGATAAATTATAACTTCTCTGAATTTCAGTTATTATAAGATGCAAAGGATAATTATAAAAAGAGAAATAATGTTAAAGATGCTATATGCTAGAAAGTGCCATACAGACATTATGTAAATCTAACTATATACAGGTAGCACAAAATATGAGAATGAGCTGAATCAATACTCCCCAAATGTGCACCTGATGTTCTCTGATGCATGAGACATGAGGAAATTAGAAAAAAAATGACAGAATAGGGTGGATCCTTTATTCTAAGAATATAATCTATTTTGGGCTATCAAAATGCCCTTTATTTTATAAGATATTGATGATAATAAATACTAAACATTTTTAAAGAATTTTCCTTATCTAATAAAAAGCAACCCTAAGTATGGATAAAAATTTTTCTAGATAATCCTAAAAACCTAGAAAATCCCGTAGTCTGGTTACTACTAATCCAACTGACTGTCTGGCTCTCAACTTAGTTTCTCTACCTTTATACTATTTCAATATGCAAAATTCATCTGCCACTGATAGTCTCTGTATGCAGTGGGGTAAGCAGGTATTACAATTTGAAAACTGTTGCCTACAGATTCTGATGTTTTCATCCTAGTAGTGATTACTAGCTAAACAGCTAAATAAAGGTATACTACTAAAGTTAAGAGAGCAATATAACAGTCCCTTGGCAATTTTGAGTAATAAAATATTAAAGACTGACATAATGTATCCCAAAGCACTTCAACTGAAAGATAGTACCTATGTATTTCCATTACAATGTCAAATGGGCTACTTAACTAATTTCTACACAAATATAAACATAAGACAACAGTTAACAGCCACCAACTAATCACTCCCAACTGCTTAAATCCCTGCTTAAATACTGCTTAATGTGACATGCAGGTCTATCACAGTCCAAACTCATTAACTGTACCTCCCTCATGTTTGCTATTTCCTATCAAAATATGTAACACAACTATACACCTTTAGCTTCTTTTATGAAATGCCTTTTCCCTTTTTGCTAGGTGGAAAATTGAACCTGTCAAGATGCAATTTAAATGTCTACACCTTTGCAAGCCTCTGCTGCACCCCTGGTACTTGATTTGGTCTTGTTTCTCCCACAGGATTTTGGTGTCTCAAGACAATACCCACCACATAGTACAGCAAGGACTCTCACAGGCCCTTCTCATGAAGAGAGCAGTTATGAGTCATTTGTCTCTATAACTGCGAATGAATAGAAGGAGGAATAAGGCTGATTTTGTAAAATTTTGCTTCACAGTAAGAAACAAAATTTATCCTTACAGTGTTTGGGACCGTACCTGTAATGCAGCCTCTTCAAGAATTTCAAGATCTTCTTCTAATTCATTACCTATTAAGCAAGTGGAAAGTTTTACCAAAATATGTTAATATTTAAACATTTCAGTCTTCTTCATTTTGTTATATATTTTTTGATAACTGTGCTACTCCAGAAGGAAAGATTTATCATTTGGATAAATCTGGGTGCTTTACATTTTAAAGGTAAAATATTTTCTGGTGAATGAATATAAGCTACAATTCTTAAACCAATAATCAAGAAGCAGTCATAGAGTATCTTGCAAGAGATATATACTGCATTTATGCAGATAAAGGTTACCTTTTGAACTTAGCGTATTTACATTTTTGTTAAAAAATGAGGGAATCTCTGAATCTGAATCTTTATATTTTGGTTGAGTTATAGAAGAGCTCTACAGTTAGGAAATAATGATAACTCACATAAAAACATAAGGTAGTAACTTTATCCTTCAGCCATTTTCTCCTTTACTGCTGAATATAAAATATATTTTATTTACTGATTGTAGGTAGTTTAAATTATGAAATTATGAAGTTCAAGTACAAATATTCAAACTGCACCTAAGTGTGAAATGAATAGTTAGTTCTACTCTCTAATTAGTACATTCTCCTCAATGATAAACAGTGTCAATAGTTTATGTATTATTGTTCTAGAAACTATGTGTAAATTATTACTGGAGATGTGTCAATAGACATAAATAAACACAAATAGTAAGATAATGCACACAAAAATAGAACTTGCTTCTGCAACTTGCTTTGCTCAGTTAATCTCGCTATCTTTCTTTGTCAGGCCATAGCAGCTGCACAGACTTCCACCGTATCAATGAGCAATAACTTAACTCGACCAAGTCTCAACTGACAGACTGTGGTTGCTTCTAAGTTTTGCAATCACAAGCACTACATGAACTCTTCATTTAAAATATTTGTTTTGATCATTGGGAAAGTGTGAATAAAAACTGCCATGTCAGAAAATATATACAAGTAAAATTTTAACAGTTATTGTCAAATTTCCTAGAGAGAGGTTGCTAACACTTTCCTCATATGAATAGACTATATGAGGTCTTATTTTTCTCCAACATACCAATATAAAGTAGGATGAAGAGAACTGAGAAGATTGAAAGAAACCAACTAGGAAAAGAAAGGGGAGGGGCTGGGGGTTTAGCTCAGCGGCACAGTGCCTGCCTGGCAAGCACAAGGTTGTGAGTTCGATTCCTGGTACCGGGGGAAAAAAAAAAAAGAAAGGGGAATATAGAAAGAGAAAAGGATTGATAAAGAGAATGAAAGAAATTAAAGGATAGGGTGGAAAGTTTAGTTTCAGAAGGAAGGGGTATAGATGGACTTTTGGGGTGAGAATTAGAGAAATAAAATAATACCTGTTACTCCTAAATAGTGTGAAAATATAATGTTAAACCATGCATAAATATTATAGAATTAAATTAGTATTTTAAAAGACTTCTTATTTACCCTCTTGATTATAGATATGTATCATGCAAACCTGTTTCATATAAAGGTACTATTTCTGATACTGCCTTATCTCTGTTCTGCTTCACACAAAAATACTTCGTAAAGCTATCTATATTCAACACAGCTCCCTCTTTCTCACTTTCCATTCCTTCTCAATTCACTCTGAAAGACCTTAGGTTTTTTTTAGGTATCAGAAATTGAACTCAGGACCTCACGCTTGCCAGGCAGGCATTGTGCCACTGAGCTATATCCCTGGCCCCTGAAAGACGTTATATTTCTCTCATTTTGCTCATTTATTTCTTGTTTACTATGTAAACAAGTTTTTAACTATACCGAAAGATTTTAATTAACTTCTCAGCAGCATGCAAAAATCCCATCAACATCCATTCTCTTGGTTTTTCTCCTCCTTTATTGGTTTCATTACCTTTACAATCTTATATGAAACTTCCTTCTCATCTGTCCATCTTTGAAGTTTTGCTAGGCCCAGCTTTTATCCTACACTCTTTAAATAGCAACTGTGTTCAAATGTCACTTCTATCAACTTAATCCCTAAGTTCCAGACGATGAATATCAAACTGTCTATTCGATATTTCTACTAGAACATTTAGAAATATCTCAGAATTTTGGTTTAGCATTATATATCCAGTATTTAACCCAATGCTTGGCACACAGCATGTATATTTGTAAGGAGAATATACATGGGCATGGATTTGTGGAAATAAAAGACTATAGGATTATTGTCCAATCTGCATTTAAACCAACCTGAGACTTAAGTATATTAAGTAATTATTGCTCACGAGTGTGTGATTACAGTATTTATTTTGCAAATCATTTTAGATATTTTATAATAAACATTTTATTCTTAAAATTTTTAAAAATTATGAACAAATACCTGGTACTTAACCAGACTTACCAATAGGAAGTGCTAGGTCCTTTTTCATCAAAGCTGCTGCGCAAACCCCACCAAGGTTGGCTAATTCTTTCTCCAACTGAATGACACCCTGAAGAATTGCATAAAATTTGCCACTTAATAAATGTTTGGGGGATAACATGCATTATTGAGCAAATGTAACTTGAATTCAAGCATCACCTTTGAAACTAGAAAGAAGCATGTCTTAACTAATGAATAAAGTGAGAATGGAAGAGATTCAATAACATATGTCATATTACAAGGTTCAGGTTCCTTGTGAAAATAATTCTTCATTCATTATTTTGAAAGAACATGATCGACTTTTGACCTTGGCTTTGTTTTAGTGTATGATTTAAAACATTAAGAAAAGTGGATGGTTACTTCTGTGAAATCAGGTTCTATTATGTACTCACAAAGCTTCACTCATTTGACTAGGTTCAGGGAAGACATAATTACATTTCAAAATTACATTTCAATTATAATGGGTCATGTTGCATATTCTCTTCATGTAATAAAAGTAGCAAAATTTACTGCATACAACTAAGCTACAACATATTTTAAATTATAAACCCTCAGCTTAAAATAAGTTTTGGACTTGAGTATAGGCAACCATACAACTTAAATCAGTAGGAGGCTTAAAACATAATCTTCCTTAAGAGAATGAAAAGATGATTTAATTTTACCTCATCAGATCCAGGGCTAAATTCATATCCAATTGCAAAGCATTTAAAACCATAAAAGGAAGCTTTGTCATCTTTCACATAATCTGAAGCAGTCTCCAAAGAAAAAAGGGCTTCATTTCCTTACAAAAATAAGTAAGAGAAAGAACAGAGGTCAAAATCTGAAACTACTTTATTAAATTTCCCTATTATTTATTGGTCCCAAAATAAGTTGCTATAGAAATCAGATATTATAACCTAAATAAATTTGGGGGGGGGGTAAGCTCCTATGTCTACTCAAACAAACTGCTAAAAGCAACACTAAAAACAACAGGACCATCTTATGTGAATGGATATTACTGTTTTGTTACCATCAATTCTCTCCTAATCAACTTTCCTGACTAAATTATAAAGAAAGTCATTATTTTCAGTTATCTTAATTTATCAATTACTGACATGACCTAGGCTAATATTTTCTATTTCAGAGTAGGTAATCCATTACCCTGACATTTGGCTTTTTCTGATCTTTTCACAAGGAAATTACGGCAGTTTAAATTGAAAGGAAATGTTTCTGAATTCAAATATTTTGAAAGGGTTGTGGTTAACTGGTTATAAACACAACAAACTACACATAGTTTTAAAACTTAATTTTAAAAAGGAAAACACAAGTATAAGTAGTAACAACTATGCATTCTTATGTGCAGGTTCATTTATATATAAGCTCTCAAGCCAACTGCAATAATTTTAACATATATCAGAAGGGGTTCACAAATTCTCTCTAAGGGAAGAAATGGAGTTCTTCGTTAAGTTCTGAAAATTTAGTACTCACTGGGGAAATAAAAGAAATCATCTGGTTTTTCTATACATTGGTCCCAACTACACAAAGAGTTACCCCAATATTAACACTCTGCTTTTTTCACAACACTTCCTTCTAAACTTGTTCCATGCTATGCCCCTACCCAGGTCATCTTATTTATTCCTGGAGTCCAATCCAGATACATACTAAGTGTTTAATAATTTCCTCTAAAAATTAAATAAACATTTTCAATAACATAGTCTCACAAAATACACATATTTTTCATTAAAACAGAAAATACTTACCTGGTAACACTAAGACCATAGTAGGCCATCCAGAAGGTCCTGAAAATTTCTTTAATTCTATCCATGAATTAAGACTTTCATGAACAGATGTTAATTTTGGTCCATATCCTGAATTCTGAATAGTTCTGACAGGAATCAACAAACGGAGGACATCTTCTGACTGTGCGGTACCACACTGAGGGTCAAATTCGATTGTCATCCATCTGACACATTCTGGAAATGTCACCTTGACAACAGGCAAGAAGACATAAATATAACACGTACCCTACACAAGTGTACATCATACGTATGCATCCATGTGTTTAAAAAGTGAAATAGAAGGGTAAAGTATAAAGTTAAAACAAAATATAACATACTAGGAAAACAGCACAGAGAACAGGACATTATACTTAACTTTAATTGAGTACTTGATTGATCAATATTGCATGTCTCTGTTTTCTTGAGAAACCACTTTGAAGATATCAATACATAATACAACAAGCATTGTTAATTTTATACCACCTTGTCTATAACTCTGTATTGTTTGTATTGTTCTTTTGCTACTTTGTAAATAGATGTCTGTTTGTTAATGTGTTTTCCGTCTTTTATTTTTAAAATAAATTTTAAAAAATACAGTAATTTGACTATACATCTGTTTGGATATGCTCAAAGGACAAAACCACCCATCTACCCACCTTCAGCTATGCATGTATGCAAAACAAATGAATAATAAAATAATTTTCTAATTTTCATAGTCCTATTGTCATTGAGAACAGAGATTCTAGATGTATCAGAAAGGAGATTCATGTGTCGTTTTGGTCCTTAGTTTGAATTAATGTCATTAGTAAAAATACATAACGTATTTCATCCTTAAAAAACTACATATACATATATGTAACGATGTAAATACACATACATACATATTATGCATAAAATATATAAAAATAATGTGTGCATCAATATGTATGTGTGTGTATACAAGGTACCAGTGTCTTTTGAAAAGATAAGTGGCTTCAGATCTAAGGAAGGCAAGAACAACTTAGCAGTCCAGAGAGTAAGGAAGCAAGTGTCTAAAGGACTAAGCAGGTAATATGAAAAGACGTTCACCTAACAAATACACATTATCTGGTTTCTTCAACAAATAAAATTCAAAGCAACAAAAATATAGAGATGGAGGGGGATCTATAGATTTAAAAGGTTTTAAGATTAAAAATGACTAATGGGACATAACTCAAGGTATCCATCTTTTCTGTATTGGAATTAAAACAAACTGGTAAAATCTACATGATACTTGATATTACGGAATTATTCATTTTTAAAGTATGAAATATGTTTATTTTTAAAGGTCTTTAAATTTTAGAGATATATATAAGAAAATATAAATGTGCTTTAAAATAACAAGAGGGGATAGCAAATGGAGGGGTAAGTAAATAAGACTTGAAGCCTGTTGAACCTGGAGAGATGAATACATGGGGAACACTGTACTGTCTTGCCTACTTTTAGATATTTAATACTTTCTACAAAAACATACTAAAATTTTACAAGTACACAAAATATTAACATAACTAAACTGATGTAGATGACTCATTGATTTGTATGATACATTAAGAAAGAATTAGTGAGTATTTTATAATGGTATTAAGTTTGCAAACATTTATAGGTAGTTTTCATTTAAGTATTGTAGATTACTCTAAATCCTACATAGGGTATGTAAATTTTTATGAACAGCTCAGGCTAAGGTACAAATAATATCAGTTAAAAATATGATTTACAAATTTTAATGCTTACATTGTAGCTTATTTAATGCTTTTTATAACTGTAGTACAGTATACAGTATACAGCTAAACTTCCATGCTTTATATTGTAGAAGTTTAGCATTATATACTATACTACAGTTATAAAAAGATTTGAGAACAACTTGCATAAAACTAAAAAACATTACACTCTTTAAGGTAAAAGTCCTGTCTTAAAGTCTTTTATATATCTGATGATGTGTAACTACCCATAGATTTTCTATACTGATGAACTATTTTTAAAAGTTACATTTCTGGACACAGACAAACCATTCTTAAAATATCATTAGAGAACCTCAAATCAAGTTTGAAATTTAAACTCTGACTAGGAATCAGTGCCTACCTTGTAGTGCATCACACAGGCAGGCTTATAGGGGTGCTCACTCTCTATAACAGCATAGTGATTAGATGTCGTACAAGCTGAGAGACCTTGTTCAGGCTGGTTTCCTGTGGTGCTATCTGTTGACTGATTGGGATTGAATGCAGGGGGTGCATATTTCTGATTCAAAATAGCAACTGAAGGAAGCAATTGTTGAACAAGGCCAAAGACTTCTACAGCCACCTAGTAAATTGAAAAAAATGATTAAATTATAGATATAAAATGTTTTCAAATTATGAGTTATGACAATTGCTGGCTACCCTCTTGTTAGTAACAATTTTCATCCACATGTTTTACTAGCTAAGTTGTTTTCAAGAAAAATGCGTTCTATGGATAAAAAAATTTAGAATTCTACATTAAAATAACCTAGTCTATATTTTTAAACAATTTTGCATTTTGGTGATATATAGCAAATCAGATTCTATTCAGTATTTAATTATACCAAAGAACCAACAGTCTATGACTTCTTCCATGTCTTGAGAATATCACTACTTTAAAACAGCGCTATCCTTTTCCATTGCTGTTAGTAAAGACAGTGCAAATTTGGTGTCAGTCTTACAAATCTAAAAAAAAACTTCAGCTAACTAAATGTTTCCTTATCATTTTTCTGAAACATAATTCCCTTTCTCCAATTTTTCATATGTAAGCACAGTAATCCAATGGACAATACTAAGAACAGCAAGATTTAATTAACTTTTGTCATGAACACATCTATCTCTGCTTAGTACCTGTAACTCAGGTGCTTCAAGGACTACAGTACCTTTAAAGGGACAAAATCTAAAAAATGATATAGTATTTAAAAGATTCAAAGTTACAGAATTAAATTACACACCTTGGGAATAGCAGCAGCTACTGGTCCTATGTAGGCTATAATAAGGGGAAGCAGCATGGAAAACAGACTGGAAGAGCTAAGCAGTTCTGGAATGTCATCAGCTAAAAAAGGCATTAAAACCACAGTTAGAAGGTAATTTGACTGTACTGTATACATGTTATACAAAATCATGGCTGACATTAACTGTTCATAAAGGACCTGGTGCTATTCAAAGGGCTTTACTTGTGTACGTTATTTCAATTAATCCTCAATTAACCCACTTTTATTATTCCTACTATTTAGAAAGGGAAACACAGTGTTTAAGTATTTAATGTGTATTCCTTTTAGATACCTGTAAGATGATAGAGCCAGGACTAGAACATAGAAAAACAGAGCCATGATTTTAAACTAGTGGCACCAAAGATGGCTATATAAGTGACATTAAGAGAATTACTTAATCTGCAAAATAAGACAATAGCAATATTTTTTCACTAGATGCTATTACATGAGTTAATATATGTAAAATGTATAGAATAATGCCTGCATATATAAAGCACCCCAAAAATGTTTTCTATTATTGTTATACTACCTTTTAATTTTCCAAGGAAACCACTTTGTTGATGGACATTTTAATCATTTATCCATGAATACGGTGGTAGAAAGGTAAGATAATTCTAGATTCTAAAAACATTTACATTATAGGACAATTTTTCTCTGAAATAATGACTTCTAGATCTGCTGCTGCATCAGAATAGGCTGCATACTTATTTTAAAAATTTTCTTAGCCTAGCCTAAATCCCTAGAGATGGTCTAAATACAGTTAACCAGCTTCTCAGGTGACTGATGTATAACCAGGCTTAGGAACAAATGCTGTAAATGGTAACAACAACTGGAGGTAACAATGAATGTTCTTCTGATAACTGCTGCCAGTGTGACAGAAGACTAGGTAACTAGATGGGAAACAGGAATAAGGTGGGGGCTGGGGATTTAGCTCAGCAGCACAGCACCTGACTGGCAAACGCAATGTTGTGAGTTCGATTCCCGGTACCGGGGAAAAAAAAAAATAGGGGTAAGGTGGCAGTGACATTATTACAGTATTATCCATCACGAGCTTTTACTATTGCAGCCTGCACTAGGCAGTGAGAAAACAGAGAGAGAAGAATACAGACTGGAGAGTTTACAAGGCAAGAACCCATAGAACTTAAGTGAGGCAACTGAATCTGAGAAGATGGGTAGATGGGTAGTTCCCCAGACATCTGGGTGAATGGTGACACATTACAGGACAGAAAGAAGGGGAAAGTTTTTGGATGATTAAAAACAGAATAAGGCAAACACCCAGTTTAATCAAGATAGATTTTTTTCTCTTACTGAATTAGAATGTCAGATAATTGTTTCTGCTATTACCTGTCCCCCCCCCCCCCCATTCTATCCTTATACTAGGGATTTAAATCCGGGGCCATGATCATTCGAGGTCAGAGATCTATCACTAAGCTATATCCTCAGCTCCACTGTTTCTGAACAATCTACAAAAATCTGCAGTAGAGTATGGAGAGCATGACTGATTAAAAATTAACCCTTTAATGATTAGTAATCCATTTTTGGAACCCTCACAGCAATGAAACATGATGAAATGTGTTCTCTTCAAATTCTTGTTCCTTGAATTTTTCCAAGTAACATATACAAACTTCATGCAAAAACTCAATTTTTGGCATAAGTGGGTTAATGTATACACAGATCTATAGTGAATAAAACACTTTGGGGTTGCACAAGATGGCTTCTCTTCAATGACTGTGGATAATTTAAGGAATACAGAATCTAAAGTACAACTATCAAGAAAGGAAAAGGAAAGTCTTACCATCCACAGCAAGAGCTCTGTGCAAGAGGTCCTTGGCAGCTCGAACAACAGTGCTTACCACAGAGAGCGCTCTGCTACAGTTTTTGTCTTCTTCATTGGCTTTACTCAGAAGTTGGGATTGTAAATCTCCATCAAATTCACTCCTGTGACACGAGTAAACATGAAAGTATTTTATAATGTTAAGTAAAACATGATCTAACTTTAGGAATCATGTACAGATCAGAGCTTGTCATTTAATTTACAGTAAAATAAGTTAAAGTTAAAACAGTTATAAGTAACATTATTATTTCAGGAAGAATACAGACTTTGAAGAAAGATAAACATAAACTTAAAAATCCGCACAGTTTTGGCAGATAAGTGTTACAACAAAAGGAACAAAATGTTGAGAGAGTTCAAAGAACAGAATGAAGATGAATATTTCTGGAATGAAAGAGAAAGTGAAAGATATTTGGGTAGAAAATGAACCAGTAGCCAGATCATGTGAGTTTGGTAGGTCATGGTAACAATTTCACATTTCATATTGGTATGGGAATAGGAGGTTAACGGACTTTGAACAAGAGTAGAGCATGGTATGCTTGCTGCACTGGGAAAAAATGACTGCAGGAGGGCAACAGAAAAGTGGGAGACTCACATAGAGGTTATAATTTTGCAGATGGAGAATAGGATGGCTGATGGCTTTGGACTAGACTGCTAATTATGTAAGTGGTAGTAAAAGTCAAATTAATGACATTTTAAAAGTATACCTGCCAGGATTAGTTGATAAACAAGATGTGAAATTTGATAGAAAATGTTAAGGTTTGGGTCTGGATGTCACTGCAAAGCTCCAGGCAGTCATGGGGGAATGGGCTGTTCAGAAGTGGCTGAATCTAGAGTTTGTGACTGATCCATGGTCCAGTGCTGGGATTAAAGGTGTGAGTGCTACACCTGCCCTAGGGGAGGCAGCCTGCACTCAATATAAAGGACAGAAAGAAGCTTCCTCTCCCCTCTTGTTGCTTTCACTGTCTTCTACAGCCATGAAAGGCTGCCCTTTTGCCATCCACCCTGCCCTAGAGCCAACCGATTATGAACTGAAACTTCTACAGCTGTCAGCTAAATAAACCTTTCTTTCTTTAATCTTGGGTGTCTGGTATTTTGTCTCAGCAAGATGACATCAAAAATAACAAGGTGTTTGGGTGTAACAGTGAGTGGAAGAGGAGTACTATGGATATGCCAACCATCAAATGTCTATCAGCCAACTACACAGAGAATCCCTAAAGAGGGTGTGTATAGTGGTTTAAGTGTGTGTCATCTAGAATATCATTTCTTGCCTACAAATCCCTGTACAATAATTGCATACAAGTGTGACTCAGATAAGATGTTTAATGACTTGGCACCTTGGTTTCATCTTCTTTTTTACAGCAGGGTAAGAAAAGTGCCTAAATTATGACTACTTACACAAAAGAGATAAACACTAGAGAACAGCCTGGAACACAGCCTAAGTGCTCAATATACCTTAACCAGTATCAACTCCACTGGTGTCACCCAAATGCAAATGTGAAAGAGGAACATAGATATTTGCTTTATAGCTCAGAAGACATGAAGACTACAGATATGGATTTGGGAGCTATCAGAGTAGAATGGTGTTTAAAGCTAAGAGAATTAAATCTTTCTTATTTTTTAATAAAGTTTGGTGGTAAATATAAAAATATAAAAATGATAGCAGACATATTGATAGACCATAGTTTTGTTCCATTTCACACCCATCCTATGATTTGCCAGTGGATCGATATTACCTAAGCAACTATACTTGTAATCTTATTGATTGATTATATCTCTGTCTCACTTTAAGCCCATCTCACCTTGTGGCTTTGCTCAATATAACACCCTTGAGAAGTGGAGCTGGTGGGCAACCAACTTTCTGGGCCCCCTTCTGTCCCTCTCAGACAGAAACTTTCCTTCTCTTAAAAAATTCTTCCTACTTTTAAAAAAAGAAAAAAGGATAGTAGATATCATTAATGGCTGTTTGGCTTTTTGATATAAAACCCTTCTTTTGTGCATGTTATAGCTTTTAGTCTATGGTTGAGAAAAAGAATAATATATTCTTTCTTGTGCTTATATAAGAATCCAGCTAAACTACTAAAAGAAAAATTCAGACTTAGTGAAAAATTTATATTTTAAAGGTTTTTTAATAACACAAACATTATCATTCTTTTATTTTCTACTATTTGCATTCAAAATAGTTTTCATTAAAATATTATGAGAAAAATACCATTATATATTCTAGGGCCCCAGGGCTAGCACCAGTAGATTAAAGATTCATAAACACTGAAATACTCTATGGACTAGATTATAGGACCAAGACAATACCACTACCAGGGTTGAATAGATCTGATCACTGACACTAGGCATTTATAAAACGAAATGAATAAATTACATGTAAACTTGAAATACAGACAAGAAACTATAAAGTGATAGCAAACAGCACATGTAACCAATCCACAAAACTTCAGTAACAAAAATTTCATAATGTATTCACCTCCACAGTAAACACTGAATTTGTATTTCAAAATGAGACTTCTTCATGAATTAGCACAAGTATGCTCTAGGAGATACACTATAATTTAATTACAACTATTTAGTTACTATATTTTCCCTTGGTAGTAAGTTATATGTTAAACTAGAGTTTAACACAGCTATAGAGGCACCTACCGATAGTAGAGTATCTGTGGAATCTGTCCCCTGGTTTGGTTTGTACCATTACTACTCAGGCTACATGTACTGAATGTAAAGGTCACACCATCAGGGCACTGAACTGTGGTCATTCCTCCATCTCCATTGGCTGTACGGCTTCCATAGTTCCTCAAGCGCACAGCATATTTAACATTTTCCTTCATGAAAAACATGTAAAACATATTTACATTTATTCATAATACACACAGGATATACAAAAAGAATTCTAGCAGTAAACAAGACTTACCATGTTTATAGATGTTATTACTGCTTTACTGAAATTTTAATGAATCAAATACGATGACAGCTAACGCTTACTGAATGCCTTTTTGCATAAAAGAAACTAGTATAAATATTTCATATGATTTAAGTAACTCTATCTTTAAAACGTCCTAATTAGGTACATTATTTTACAGGTGAGCAATTTGATGTGCAGAAGTTAGATATCTTGTCCAAAAGTCACACAGCTGGCAAATGACAGAACTAGAATTTGAGTACTAGTAGTGCTACTGGTTCCTGCTCTAATCACACTGATAGAATATTACCAATCATAAAAGATTTTAAGAGTACTTTTCCTTCATGAGTTTAAGTCAGGAAATAATTTTAAAATGAAAAAAATAATGGTACTAATCTTTTTGTGGGGGTACTGGAGACTGAATTCAGGGCCTCTGCATGGAGCTATACTGTCTCCAACACCTGCCCACTCTTTTTTGAGACAGGATCTCATTAAGTCAATAAACTGCCCAAGCTGGCCTCAAACTTGAGATACTGTTGCTTCCGCCTCCAAGTACAGGGATTACAGGTGTGCGCCACCAGACCCAGCTGAATCTACTGTATTTTTACTTTGGGTGATATTCATTCAGAGACAAAGACAGACCAGGCAGACATACATGGGGAGAATACCCATAAGAAAATAATTTTCCAGAATATGATGCACTGTATGTTGAAAATATGAGTCATACATACTCATATTTCGTGACCCATTATACAAACTTTATAAAGGCTTTTTAGATTTTCAGTACCTCAGCTTTTTGATAAAGTCTGATGAGCCTACTTTATCCAAAATTCTGTTCTCTCCTGAAATTTATTTCAGATGAATTTAGATACATTTAATATTACTTTAATAATAATTAAAGTAAAATTTCTCTATTTTACCAAATACTCTTAGAAAATCAGATTATATAAAGTAGTAACCTTAATATATTAATTGTTAAAAAGGTCTTCTTTTTTAAAGGAGTTTTAGCACAAGAAAAGGATAGGAGTAATATGTATTCAGTTTCCACACTATACAAGAAACAGAAGCATGCTTTACTTCCACTATTTAATCCAATCTCCATAACACTACAATGCAGATACTATTCCTCTCAATGTACCTAATCAGTTTCTAAGTGATAAATGATGACTTGTCAATGTCTTAAAACTAAGATACGGAAAATCAGGTATCTTAAAGATAGGTTTGTTTGACTCTAAAACCTAACAACTTTTTCTACTGTACCAGACTTTAAGAGACACTGTCAAAAATAGAATACAGTATAGTACAAGCCCGTAAATATGTGAAGCACCACATAAAGGATAACTTAGAAAAAGCTATATCTAACAATGAAAATTCATGGAATAATTTTAACAACATACTATCTCTTATTTACAACAAAAACATGGTAAAAATTACCTTTAAAGGAACAACTTTGTCAAGTCTGATTTCAGCTATGTCACTGGGTGAATCATCTGTCGTGTAAGTTCCTTTGACTAATTCTAGAGATGTCCATCTGTGGGAATGAGTTGAATCTCCTACATGTTCACTCTAGTGAGGACATCAAAATAAAATTCATGAGACTCTTAATTTTATTGTATGGATAATTTTAATTTATAATTATTATTTTTAAACTGCTTATTTCCTTGCACATAAAATTAACTATTAATATTTCCCCATAAATACTAAAGAGAAATTTCTGGCACTCTAATTCATTCTACTCTGATGCCTTGACATTATAACATATTTAAATGGACTATTCTCATTTGTTGTCTTAAACTATTCCTTCTTCAGAAGAACAATGCTTATAGAGATAGAGCTTAATGAAGCACAGAATTCAGTAGTGGTGTAAAACAATCAAGTGACACATTGCTATTTATTAGAAAATGATTTATATACTTTCTATCCTACATTAATAATTGAAAACTCAGTTACTTTGAATAATTTATAGAATATAAAAAAGTATAGCTAAATCAATCAAATGTTATCTTTACTAAGATTTCTCTATAATATTATGACAAGACTGTTTACTACTGAATAAAGTATTAATATTCATTTGAATACTGTTTTTGTTTCTTGAAAAATAACAATTGTAAAAATTCACTCAAAAAATGCAATTAGAGGTATTTCTTAATCCTTAATTCCACTTTGAATCTTTTTTTTCTGGAAATGCAGAAAATATGAGGCAAAAGTGATTCAAGATGACACAAACAATCAGGTAAAATTGCTCTTTTCACTTTAAGATTGTCCATACACAAGTGATCTGCTAAATCATCAGATTTAGACCCATTATACTCTGACAGTATGTCATTGTCCTAATATACAGCAGGATAAAGGACATAGGGGTGACACTTACATCATCGACCAACACCTCTAATTCATATTCATGAATCCCACCTCCTCCATAAACAGAGAAACCAACCACAACTATTCCAGGTTTGTCTACTGAAAAACAGATTGCATCAGGGGACCCATTCCCGGTGTTCCAACTTCTTCCTTGACTTGTCTTTGTAAATCTGTTAGCACTAGCTTTTACAGAGTGAAGAGAATTAAGTCCATCAACCTGTAAACAACATAAGCAATTATAGCAGTGGTTTGTGTTTGAGTGCTATGTAGTAATACACAGGTAACAAAACTAGCCAAAGGTCTCTAAGAGGTCTTTTAAAATAATTTATATTTAATAAGCAGTTTAAATCTTCCCAAAGGTATTAAAAGATTAAACCATAGTAAAATTTTCTCATTCTAAAGCTACAAATTCATGTTACTTGACAGTATTTGGTCTGTTTTCTAAGTTTGAATATCACTAATATATACAGTGATATTTTATAACTTAGCAATCACTATATACAGATACATAAATATACACAAATACACAAGCTCACTGTGACCTTTATTAAAGAGGAACAGAGAACTTATTTTGGGTTGAAATAAGCTCTTTTTATTTTAGAAACTGTTTCCAATCTAAGATAGCCACAGAAATTTGGGAGATTTGAGAGGAAACACTAAAAATACATGATTTGCACACTTTACTGAAATAAAGAAATATGGAAATCTAAACCAAGAACTTTAGGAACTCCTGAGATTGTTAATTTGGCACCCCGCAATTTGGGTACTTGTTTTCATTAGAAAGGCAAGTTCATGGGGATTAATTCATTAGCAATAGTTGACAGGGACCAAGGCATTATAGATTCTTGCATCCTCTACGGTCCACTATAAAAAAAAGATGCATATGAGAGGCAAACGAAATGTTAAAAAAATAATTAAGCATTTTCAGACAGGGGCTTTAGTGGCCTCTCACGTCAAAGCTAGCCAAGAAACCTAGGAAATGCTTCTAAAGGGAGCTAGTAAATTTTTGCTCCCATCTATGTAATCATTCAGAAATTTTGAAAACTGAACTGTCACTATGAGTAAGGAATCAGTACACACTGACAGGTTAAATAGGTTCTAAAGTAAAACTGTAAGCAAGAAGAGGGAAAGATGAGCAATTACGAAGTAAAATAGACAAAAGTTCCTTGGCAAGAAATTTAAGAGCTCGAACCACTGAATGTATATTGTTTTTTAAACATTCATTTGGATGGTATATTTCACCATCTTAATTAAGATGTATTTTTCAAAACAATCTATGGTCTATATTTTAGGGAAAAACAGAAATCAAATTCTGTCAAAACATTTACATAAGTTTCCAAAATAAGGCAGTGAAATAGAGAAAATGTTACTTTTAAATGCATTTAAAATGTCACAAAGTAATTTTCTTAAATATAATAACCTTTGGTACTTTTAAAATTTTGTGAGAGTAGTTGTACAAGGTGAACTTATTGAACTATATACATAAAATGATTAGAATAACACATTTTATACTATGAATACTTTGCTGTAATTTTGAAAACCATGACATGAGACAAAAATTATTCCCATTTTCCATATGTATTTGTCTTGGATGAACTTAGCAAGCACAGCAAAAGTTTGAACCTCTTTGCATTTTTACATCATGTGTTCATTATTAGTAGCATGATTTCAGAACATTCATCATCCATAAATGGAACTATTTTCAATTTTATTGGAGGCACAGAAGTGGACTGGGACTAATGAGAAATTAACCTAATAGGAAAATAGATACTTCATATAACTGTGATATTTTGGGTACATTGAGAAGGGTAAAGAATAGACAAGAGCAGACAAAAGATACAACAGAAGTCAAAAAAAGAAAGTTGAATATGAACAGTTATTTTAAAGAAAAAAATGCAGTGGTATTGCTGACCTGTTTTGAAATTAGTTTCCATAATATGAAAACACATGAAAAAAAGAAACTGTGTAGTAATTTGAAATATGAGTTCATTATCCAGTCTCAAAATATGGCTTGGTACCTCAGATCCCAGGGCTGATGCAGTCAGTTCACTGACGATACTCGCCAGCAGTCCACAGGTATTAGAGACCAAGTGGGAGGAGAAGAGTTCATTTTCTCTTCTCAGGCTGTTCCTGACTGGTAGCACAACAATAACCAGCATTTTCTCCAGCACTTCACGGAAGCTGGTCATTCCTGAGATATTCTCTTCACTCTGTCCATGAGAAGAAAAAGTGGTGATGTATTCCTTTCCCTTTCCCCCTTTTCTTTCCCCTTTCCTCTCCTTTCTGTTCCTTTCCATGATTACCCAGTAGCAAAATCTTGTCTTTTTCACATGACTCCCTTAAGTCCAGACCAGAACTCAGGCCTATTTCTACAAATCTATTCAGTTGTATGTGGAGCTACTGTATCTGCTTTTCACTTAGAAGTTTGTTTTTTGAATTGTCTTTTTGTTATCATAAAAGTACCACACATTTAGGTAGTGTTTGTGTTTTTATCAGTTTTGAGTCATTTTAATATACTATCTAACTTCTTAGTAATAATCCTGTATGACAGATAGAAAACTAGTCTTCCCATTTAAAACTCTTTTCATAGACAAGATGTCAATGCGAGTGAGATAATTATTTCTGGAATATATAGAGGCAAAGCTACTCTACACGGTTTGCAAATCAACTTACTAAGAAAATCCTTTTGTACATGCATGAAATCCTGAGCTCTTTTATAATTGCTACTGTATTAAACTTCCAAAGGGAGATAAAATTCTAACCTCTTCCAGTGAAAAAAATGACCAAAAAAATCAAACTCCCATTAAATATTGAAAAAAATATGTTTTCTATGAATGGAATGGATTATTTGTTTATCAGATATCCAGCATAAAAATTGTTTATCTCCTTTACTATCATTTATATCTTTTAGCCCACTATAGACAGAGAGTATCATCAGGAGGCCATACTAAATAATGAACCTTTCAGTTCTTAAATGGGATCAATTTTTTTTTTTTATTTTAAAGATAAAAGGAGGGAAACATTAACAGACATACAACATTTTACAACATATCACAAGCACAATACAGACAATACAGAGTTACAAACAAAGTGGTAGGGAATTAACAATGGTGGTTGTATTACATATTGATATCTTCAAAGTGGCTTCTCATGAAAACAGATATAGACATGCAATATTGGTCAACCAAAGACTCATTGACAGTTTCTTTCAGCATAGAAATAGAAGACAGAAGAACAACCATGTTATCTATCCTGTATATACATACATACAAAATTTCTCCTTCGTTCCCTTCTCTTTTCCCACATTAAATGGGATCAATTTGAATTTCTATTTTTTTTAGTAGTCAATTTCTTCATCTGTGAAATCAAGTAAATAATTTGCTCTGATTTATCTTTTAACACAATTTTCATGAGCCCTGAACTAGCAAGTGCTTCTGCAATATTTATATTCCCTACTGCTTTGTAATATACATGATAGAATTCATAAAATCATAAAATCTCAGGGTAGAGGGGCCTGAAAGTTAGATCACTCTTCTCAATACAAATCAAATATATAAATAATGCACTTTCTACCCATTTAGAAATTATGCAACTTTTTAGTTAAAAATCACTATGAACATTACTATGAGTCACTCCCAACTTCTTTCCTATTTTGCAATCTTATACTGAGACAAAAAGCCACTTAGGAGAACTTTTGTATTTATTTTTATTAACATTTGATTCTGATCACTACAACATTTTGGTTAATTTTTAACTGAATTAGGTTTTCTGGATATAAAATCATCAATTCTTGATTTTATTAAAAATCTACTTCATTTATACCTTGTATCTTTCTCATGCTCCAGAAATTTTATTGTCTGGAACATCTCAGAAAGTCAGCTTTTGATAAAACTCAATCCCTAATTGTGTTCCATAAGAAAAAATCCCTTAGAGCTTCATGGTGTGTGTGTGTGTGTGTGTGTATGTGTGTGTGTGTGTGAGACATATATTTATTTATGCTTATTTAGTTCTAGTTAGTAGTTGCCAGGATTAATATAAGAAGCTTCCCAAATAATATACCATAATAGTTTATCAATATGATTCATTAAAGCACCAAAAATAAATGATTGAATGAATGCTATTTGTTGGTCACTAAAATTTAAGAAAAAAAGTACTCTTACTCATTAATGTCTATAAATGAAAGCTGATATTAGCTTTCTAAAAAGGTTTGACAATTTGTAATGAACTCTGACTTAAGAATTTCTCTACCCCTAAAGAATTATACTGGGAAAATAATCATAAATATGTATAAAAGTTAAAGCAATGATATTTTCAGCACCATTTAAAATACTAAACTACTAAGTGTATACACACAATTGATTCTGCATATTGAAATGGTACAATGCCACAATGTCCCTCAAAAAGATAGCATGTGTAATATATTAACCACAACATATCTTCATAGACTAATTTTAACATAGACTCAACTATATAATTACTAACTATTAATAATCATTACATGTTAGTTCTATAAATTAAACAATATTTGCTATATATTTTTAAAAATTACCAAACTAATGGGAATTCCAAAAGAAAATGTCTGATTATTCAGAAATGTAGTACCCATAAATTATTCTATTTTTCAGTACTCTTAATAAAGAGCCTCTGCATACATATTTTATATAGAACACATTATATATATATATGCACTCTGACTTCCAATTTTTATTTTAAGAATTTAAAAATGTTTTGATGTTAAATATTAATATACTTCTTTGTAATGGCTAAATCATATTCTATCAATTTGTGCCTAACTCAGCAATTTTACTCAGTGATAAACATCTAAGGGTCTAATAAAAAGTTTTCAATTTTCCTTTTATTTATTTATTTATTTTTTTTGTTTTTTTTGTTTTTTTTTTTTTTTGAGACAGGGTCTCTCTATGCAGTTCAGGCTGGCCTTGAGCTCACTGTGCAGCCCAGGCTGGCCTCGAACTTGAAATGATCCTCCTGCCTCAGCCTCCCAAGTGCTGGGATTACAGGCAAGCACCACCACGCCTGGCTAATTTTCCTTTTATTAAAAACACATGTAGTTTTAGTGTTTCCCATATTGTCTTAGTTTCCTTGAAAATGATAGTAACACATAACAAAATAAAAATGTATTTATTATTTCTAAAATAAATCTGGTTTTAGACCCCCAATTCAAAGGTTATGTTTTCACTCCTGTCTCAACTATTACTTAATTAAAATTTCATAAACAGTTGGTATACAATAAATATTTGCTAAATTTAAAGGAAAGGATTAGACTACACAATGACATGAACAATCTATAAAGTATGTTTCTTCATAGTCTCACAGAATAGGAATTTGAGAGAAAAATTAATTTTTCCTAATTTTTTAGAAATAGATCAATACCTAAATATTACTTTTATTCTATTATCCTTTTTATTTCTATATTATTGAATTTTAGAATTAATTTTCTGTTGCTTTAGTCAACAGAAAAGTGTTACTATATAGTAATTTTTTTTTTTTTTTTTTTCCGGTACCAGGAACCGAACTCACGACCTCGCGCTTGCCAGGCAGGCGCTTTGCCGCTGAGCTAAATCCCCAGCCCACTATACAGTAATTAAAATAACTTTTACTTTACTTTTTTCATTTTTATAGATTCATTCTCAAGTAAATAGTTCAGTATATATGGTTTCATGTGTATTTTTAATTTTTTTTCTATAATGCTTTCTAGTAAACTGGAGGCAGACATTAAGAAATGTTTCTTCTGCCCATTGTTTTACAATGCTTATTTTAACATACCAAAATTTTATACAAAATGTTTTAAAAGTTCTTTATCATTCTATCTTTGAAATTTAAAATATTACATTAGAATGCAAGAGATTGCTTATGGTATCTGCCGCTTAATTTCAAAATATACAGCAGATAAAAAATACACAAGAAATACACAAGTTTTGCCTACCACGCATAAGGCCCTAGGTTCAATCTCCAGCACAGCAAAAAGAAACAAAGAAACAAAACAAAAAACCAAATATAGAAATATTAACTGAATAACTTGGATTTCTTACCAGCAAATGACTCTTCAAAATAAAATGGAAAAAGGAACCTCACCTTATAGGCAAATAAGATAATTAAAACATAACCACCCCTTCTTCTGAAACAGGTAACAATTTGTTAAATAATCATTTACTTACCAATACAGAACAAAAAGTATCAAACTAAAAATACTTCCCTTTACAGTTTAAATGCTTCAGTACGAAAGAGATTTCAGAAAAGACCTACCTGGCTGAGTTTTTCCATGTGTGTGACCAAAAGGGGAAAACGATGAACCAGTGTTGAGTCATTTTCTGTGCTAACTTGCTTAACAATTGATCTTAGCAGTACTTCTCCGTCATAAGCAATAGGGAAAATAGAAGTCAGCTTAACAGATGTATGACACAGAGCTGACATAACAGCTGCAAGGAGTCGGCTACTTGATGTCTTGAAATTTGCTTCTTGGATATCCTTTTAAAAAAAAGCCCCCCGCAGTCCCATAGAGATACTGCATCAATATAATCCAAGTTTCTGAATATATAAAAGGTAAGTAACTGTTTAAATCATATCCAAATTTTGTATCATTCAGTCACTGAAATTATTTTGTTACAGGATAATATCACATCCGTGCCTTAAAAGACAGTTAAGTCACTATCCAATGAAAATAAAAAACAGTAAATTATATATATATATGTATATATATATGATATATAAACTATATAAATATCCATTTATATCATATCTACATCACTGTATCTATCAGTATATGTACATATATATATCTCCACTCACACAGTTCTCCTTAGCACTATTTTCTTTTTTTTTTTTTTTGGTTTTTCTCTGGTACCGGGAATCAAACTCATGACCTTGCGCTTTCCTTAGCACTATTTTCAAATTTTCACTATTACACTATATTTAAGGCATTCCCAATAAGCACTGAAACCTTTTCTCAAATAATTATATGATGCAAAATTGTAATTCTGTGCAACTATTATAACATTTCAATGAGATTCTAAAATTATGTTACTGCATTCCACAGTTAACTCCCAAAGAAAATATTTTTCCTCTAAAGAAAACATTAAAAATGTATCAATACACGACATCCTAATTTACAGAATCATGTATGCACTATTTCATCAAATATTTGTGGTACAAAGTCAAGCATAAGAGCAGAGCCACATTCCATCCAATACATTGACCCAATGCTTCCTAAATGCACCCTTGTTCAACAGTGAAGGAATAAAATAACAATTTCAACTGGTAGAGTTGAGAATGAGACAGTAATTAACTTATGCTGTAGTACAGACAATAGTTTGTCCCAGAAAATAGAATGGTTAAAATATGGTATCCTGCTATATGGAGTCCTGTTGCTTGAGAAGTCATGGTGATGGCAGTGTACTGGGGAGGATGGGGTGCAGTGTTGACGTGGGGCTAGGAGTTTCATACCATGATGAATAAAAGTGGTCAAAGCATTTGGACCTTGTTTCCAAACTTAGGGGAGCATTCATTATTTTACTTTTAAGCAAGATGTCAGCTGTAGATTTTCTTTATCAGATTGAGGAAGTTCCTTTACATTCTAGTTTCCAAAGATATCTTTTTCACTGAATAATCACTAATATTGTCAAATATGTTTTCTGTAACTACTGAGAGGATCATACAATTTGCTCTCTTCATTCAATTAATCTGCTGAATTACACTGATTTCTGGATGTTAAAAACTTGTATTTCTAAGATAAATTCCAAAGTCATGATATATTATCTACATTATAGGATTTGATTTGATTATATTTTAAGAATTTCTTTATGCCTGAGTGATAATCATTTGCAAATTTTCTTTTAACATATTTGCTAGGCTTTGTTATCAATCAGGATAAGGCTAACCACACAGAATGAACTGGAAAGTATTATCTCCTATAGTTTCTGAAAGAATTTGAAAAATGATTGCTATTATTTCTTTTTAAATGGTTAAAAGAATCCATTAACAACAATGTCAAGGCATGGAATTTTCTTTGTGGAAAAGTTTTTAATAATAAATCCATTTTTAAAATAGACATAAGGCAATTCTGATTTTTCTAATTTTATTGTATCAGTTTAGGTTAAGTTATATTCTTGAAAGAATTTGGTAACTTCCTCCAAAGCTATAAAATTCATTGATATAAAACTGTTTATACTATCCTCTTAGCATAATTTTAATGCCAGGTTTAACCTACAGTGATATTCTCTACCTCACCTCTAATAATGGCGCTCTGTGCTTCCTTTGTTCTTTCCCTCCTTCTGTGTGCTGCAGAGCAAACCCAGGGCTTCACTCACAGGAGGCAAGTCCTTTGTCACTGAGCTACATTTACTGCCCCCAGTATAGTGTTTTTCTCTATCAGCCTTTTAAAAGCTAAAGGGTAGGGGCAGCAACAATTTACTGTCTTAAACATTACATAAGCAATGCAGATTTATAACTACATTTCATATGCTTAAATTACCTGATCCAAACAATTCAGCAGATCACAAAGACACGCCCACTGCAATGCAGGAGTTGGGTAGAAAGAATGGAAACATGCAGTAAAAGTATTATGACACTCCTGCAGGACAGCTTCCAGGAGACTCAGGGGTTGACTGAGATATCCTTGAGGGTCATTATCCAGCTTCACCATGCAGTGATCAACTCCTTCTGATAAAATTTTTCTTAATAAAGTTCTGGTTTTTCCAATACACTCTGCTAATTTGCTGGTTTCTTCTACAACTACTTTTCCTGTAGCTTTTTTTTTATGGAAAAAAAGTAAAATGCTAGTTAGTAAAATATTAAATATGCATGGAAAAATATAATTCAGTAATTAACTATATGCCTATATATCATGAATACTTATAACCTATACATGTAACAATTTAGAGATAAAAAGTGGTCCAAAATTTCTTTGTAAAATTTAAAAAGAATTAATAAAAAAGAAAAAAACTAGTTACATTCCAACCAGCTGCTGAAAATACTTCTACTTGACATAACTTATTTAAAATAATTTTATTAGAATATTAAATTTTAGCCCACCATAACTTTTTCTCATAAGAGTAACATGAAATCTATTTTATTTTTAATGAGCAAATACAGAAGCATCACAATAAGCTTTCTTCCCTCATTTCAGGAGCAGCTGAAAGGCAGGCAGGGATCTTTAACTCCTGATAATCTTTAATTCATCTCAAAGTCTTAAATGTTTTCTACCTAAAGTCATTCAAAAAATACATCATACCTGACACTGGGTAAATTTCACAGGTATAGACACGCAATAACCTCAAACAACAGGTACCCACGAAGCGCAGTCTCTCTAAATCTAGAAGTGTAGCTGTGAACTGGAATCCTTTTAATCCTCTAAGTTCTTCAACTCCTAAGACTAAGGTGGTCCAGCTCCAGTGAAGAATGCTCAGCAATGATTCAAAACATTCCTAATTCAGAATGTGAAAAAACAGAAAACAATTAGTTCAAATTAAATCATGGGACAAGTCAAATGAGAAAGTAATACATGTAATTTCAAAATTTTACCTTGAACTCTTTAGTGAGTTTTGGTAGCCCAAATAACAGATATTCTTATAGTGCATTTACTAAATTACCATTAAGAGTATCTCTTAAGTTTGACCAAAAAGGTAAGGTAGACTGGCATTTATAAATACAACATTCTTCAGTATTGACCTACTTAAAAAATATTTAAGTCTTCCTGTTACCAACCTATCTACTGTAGCATATAAACAAGGAAAAAATAAAAATCTTATAAATATGGTACATGCTTATTTGAAGGGAGTATCAAATGCTATATATCACTGTAGTAAAAATTATATAAATGAAATCAGTGTATTAGCATTCAAGTAATATCAACTAGCTTATTTTATGTCTGCATATTAAAATTTTATATAAACTATATGCAGACACAAATTGATAATATTAATGAAGATAAAAATTGACTAAAAATACTATAAAATCCTTCCTTAGGATGTTTTAAAATTCTAGACTATGGATTTAGGGTGGACTTGCCTTGTAGTTATGAAGGGTCTGCAGATTTTGCCATAGTTATATCATGACAGATGCTCCATAAGTCTCAAAGCAAACCCCTTTGCTCCCCTATCCTTATCAAATCACAGACATCTTGTAATACCAAAACTGAGAGTAATACCAAAACTGAGAGTATATAGTTTAACCTTTTAGAGAAACAACATTTCCTATTCAAAGATTACAATTACTGAGACATAAATACAAAACAATTATCCAGTACAGGGGGGGGGTGGGGAAATCATAAAAAAAGACACAATGGAGATTCTTATTGCAAATAAAAGATACCAAACTCATAAAAAAAGGATGAAAAGGTAAAAAAGAACTCCAGTTCTTTTAAGCCACATTTTTATAGTCACTTTTGCAAGGAACACTGTATAACTGGCATACATTTTTTTGGAAGGTCAATTGGACAAATACATATCAAAATTTAAATGGGCACATTTTCTGTACATAATATGCACATAAGCACATCAGTCATTAAAGATGCATGCATAGATTCTCACGAAGAAAAGATAACAAAAAATGAGCAACAGACTGGTTCTATTATAGTAGTGCTGAATAAATAAGAATATAACTATGATGGGGCTGGGGATTTAGCTCAGCGGCAAAAAGCGCCTGCCTGGCAAGCGCAAGGTCGTGAGTTCGGTTCCCGGTACCGGAGAAAAACCAAAAAAAAAAAAAAAAAAAAAGAATATAACTATGCTATAGGAAAATATGCAAACAGAAAAACTGACAAAGAGACAAATATATTAATAGGAAAACTGTTCATGGTGTGTTCTATCAAATGTTCAAAGAGACAGAGGAAAACTGTAAGTATCAGAAAAAACAAAAATACCGTACAACATCTTATATAAATACAACTAAGTGTGTGTGTGTGTGTGTGTGTGTGTATAAAAATGGGGCTGTATAGAGCTCAGTGGTAGAGTACTTGCCTAACATAAACCTGATCCCCTAACAATGAAACAACAGCAGCAACAACAATAACAAACCAAACAGTGACAACAAAGAAAACATACAAGGTCTGGAAGGCTATCATAGTCCAAATGTAAACAAAAGGATAAGAAGGAAAGGAGGAAAGAACCTTAATACTGTTTACCTTTAATAATTCTCTATAATATCTGAGGCACATGTATTAATCTTATGGTTTTACTAAAAAAGGGAAGGATTCTTCCTAGGCATTTTACCAAAATGAGACAATAAGCTACTTTACTAAATCATTCACATAGTGTATTACAGTTAAAAAAGCATTTTACATGCCCTCTCTTATTAGAAATTCATAATACAGTAATGTAACTTGTTTAGATAATTTGCATAAGAACCCTATATTAATACAGAAAGAGCAAGAAATTTACTCAGACATGCTATGACCTTTTAATTACATCATGCTGACTTTTCACCCTTATTAATTCCAATAGCACAGTACATCTTTACATACAGATTAGGATGGGCAAGTACAGTGGTGCCTTGGTTCAGAAACTTAATTTGTTCCATGATTTTGGAAAAGATGGCCATGTCTGTGTTGGTGTGAGAAAGATGGCCATGGTTGTATTTGTCAACCAATGCAGAGTTTCCTAACAGAAACAAAATTTTGCCAAATGCTTCTGTTTGCAAAACAAATTGTTTGCAAACAAAAGAATTTGTGAACTGAGGCACCAGTGTAGTTCAACAAAGATCCCGGTTGGGTAAGCAACTCTTCTACATAGTTCTTCAAGTACTAACACTTCTGGACCAGTACCATCCTTAACTTTTCCTAATTTTTTAATTCCTTTGTATATGTATCATTAGGAAAGCCACCAGTTATTTCATAAATAGCAAGGCTATGTTGGCTGGGCATCATAGGCAACACTTACATTTTTCCATTATTTAAAGCATATGCTATACTATTATTTAAAGCATATACTATCTTTGGCTAATGTAAAAGCAAATCTAAGTTCATAAAGCTAGGCTATGATAAATTCTTAGAACAGAGTGGCTAAATTCTAAACATCACAATTAAACAGAATGCTGAATTAAAAAACTGAAAGTTTTAAAAAACGGCTCACCACTGAGACAGTTCTTGCAAAAGATCTCTTTAAAATGTGTACAGGCTCACTGGTTTGCTGTTTGCCTTTTGAAGCACTGCTATCACTGGTTGGAAGTCTGAAGACAGAAGATACATATAAAATCATGTTTAAAAAGTCCAATGACATTTTAAGAAATACACATTTTTGCCACAGTGAATTACTGAAATTATGCATTTGCATTGTTTTGGCTAGATAAAATGCTAATATAGGGCTTTTCTGGAAACATTTTCCAACACTAAACAATATTTTCTTAGCACTATCTTACCATGTTGCTAAGGCAGTGTACTAGAAGCTTTCTCCTCTTGCTAGAGAATACTTGTACTTCATGTTCTATAGTAATGCTCCCATTTAATTATACTATTAAAATTATTCTACCAGTAGCACCTAGGGATACTCCAAGGCAACTTGTTATGTTCATAAAGTTACATTTTACAAGTACTGACTATAAGAAATTGCATAAAAAACAAAAAAATTCCCTCTTGGGAAAAATGAGATTTTTAACATTCAATTCTTTAACTATTACTAGGAAGGAAAGATATGTGTGAAGAGAATCTTAATACATGCATATCTATGTTTACAGCAACACAATTTATAATAGCTAAGTCTTGGAAACAGCCCATATGCCCATCAACAGATGAATAGATAGAGAAAATGTGGTGATTAAATACAATGGAGTACTAATCTGCTGTACAGAAGGATAAACTTGAAACATTTTTAGGTAAATGGATGCATCTTGTGACCATAATCTTAAGTGAAATAAATCAGACACCCAAGTTAAAACATTGCATTGTTTCTCTTGTGTGAGAAACCCAAACTGTAAGCCAGGAGTGAAATGGAGGATAGATACTGGAAAGTAGGAAGAACTTGTTCAAATGGGAAAATGAACAAGGGAAAGGGGAATGGTTAGGGAAGGAAAGGAATGGGGATTTTAAAAAAGAATGGAAGGGAAAAATGTAAACAAAGCTTTTATAAATAGAGAGGGGAAGGGCTGAAGGGAAGGGAGGGGAATGGGAAAAAAGAATTTAGATATATTATGTACAGGTACATATTCTCCATGTTAAATGTGATCATTAGGTATGGCAGACATGTACCAATAAATAATAAAGATAAAAAAGAGAATCTCTAGAGGTATTTTTTTGTTTTTTTCTTTACTACTTTCAGGATTATAACATTTTTAGTTAAAGTTCATATCCATTTGAATTTGTCTAATATTACAGTAATGTTGAGATGGAAACATAGGTATAAACTTTCATGTCTGAATTACTGTGAACTAATTAAAATTCTTAATGTTAAAATATCATAAAGCAATGCTATTTAATATTTCAATAAAAGGTGTAAATTTTTCAACAGTAAGGGATTTTCCAACTCATTCCACCACAGATAAAAAAACATAAGACTACAGTAAACTGCAATCTACATCTGAAGTATTCTCCCTATAGAAAACTGACCAAGTCTACATCTAAGGTACTCCCCACTCCAATTCAATTTCTTTAGAACAGATTTTATTAGGTTAGAGAATCCTGAAATTGAAAGAAAATCAAAGACAGGTTTAAAGAATAAGTTATAAAAATATTATTAGCATAATACAGATAATCTGAGTCATTCGGCAAAGTTTAAATGTAATGTAAAAAGTGTCTAAAAATATACAAAATGTTAACAATTAAATGTCTTTGTTACACTGGTTATATTTCTACCAGTATAATTTATTAAATATTTCAATAAATTCTTATTATGTCATATATTTTATAATTTTTATATCTTATTATAGCAAGAGAATAAACCACATCAAGTAACTATAAGTATGCTAAATACCTGTATAATAACTGAGGTATCTGACCAGCATTAACATCTGTACCATTATTTGATTTCTTTGAACTCTTAAACTGGAAAACAACCCTAAGAAGAGAAAAACAAAAATAATAGCAGAAGTGTGATGGTCTAAGATTCATTAAAGAAATAAGGGAATTGACAAAAACTTTACAATAAAGAAAATTATTTACTCTTTAACAAAAAAATAAAAAGGTACTATCCTGACTGTAACCTGGTTAAGCAGTAAATAAATCAACTGAGCCAGATCAGCAGCAACTCCTGAGTAGCTATCCTGCCCCCAACCAGACCACCAGCTCAGTTTTCACCACAGTAGTAAACTTTTAACAAGATATACACTTACCAACAGTATAAAATCAGCCTGACTAGATGTGATACTGGCTTTAGCCTCAAAGTGGCATGACACTGCAAGTCTGACTGAACTACATACGGAAACAACATAGTCCAGGGTCAAAGCAGTCTCCTCAGTTCTAGCATATAATCTTAGAGCAAGTTAAAAGGGATATACAGAATACCAGATTTAATTTTCCTTCAGCAATCTCTTTGAATATACAACAACATGGAACTCACTTCAAAAATCAGTTGGCTTTTATAGATTTTTTTTTTTTTGTTCTGTTTTATCATCTCTGTTTTGACTCGAACCAAATGAAATATACTATTACATACTCTACCCACTTCAAATAGTTAAAAAACTGAGTATCTTTTTCAAATGACAGTTCTATAGAACATACGAATTAGTTATAGTACAAAGAATGCTGATTTAGAATCAAGAGCATCCAGGACCAGACTTGGCTCAGTCATACAATAGTCACATAAACCTAAGCAAATCACTTTTGTTTCTGTAGTCCTTTGAATTCAAAATAAGATTAATAGCTGTTTCACAAAGTTATTGAGAGCATCAAAATTACTCTACACAGTACATGACAATGGTAAAATGTTCCTACATTTCATTAAAACAATATGTCTCATACCACAAAAGGGTTCCAATTTATAAACTGTCTATTTATATATGCTGTTAAATTTAACTGCAAGTGTGTTTCCTATTTATGGCTCCAAAATCCTCACTAATCCTTGTCAGCTTTCTCTAAATTTCAAATTTGGTAATAAAACTTTTAAACTTTTTTTTGTTTTGATGCCAGGAATCGAATTCAGGACCCTGCACTTGCCAGGCAGGTGTCTGTGCCACTGAGCTATATCCCCAGCCCTTAAACAATTTAATATCCAGAAATATATACAAATACTATCACATAAGAGCAAAGAAAATAGTCTTATTAATTACCTCCCTGTTCTGTCTAGACCTTAATTTGGCATATGTGGTTATCTGGCATATGAGGTTACCCAAATTTAAGTTTTAGTAATTATATTATGCTTTTAGTATGCTTAGTCATACTGAGCACTTACCGTACTGAATGAGACCTCTGACTTTTCCAACATTATTATACAAATAAAAATGAGAGATGCTTAAGTAAAACTTCAGTGTTCTTCTTACCCATCATCTGTAGTAATAGAAGCTTGTCCATGAGATCCACAGTCACTGCTGGGTCCTGACACTCGAGCCCATGCTACATACCACCAGCCAGCTTGCAGGAGAACTGGTTCATCAAACATCATTGCATATTTTTCTCTGAGAAAAATTAGTGAGTCAAAACAATCCCTATGTACTTTCCTGTCACATGTACTTTTTTAAAAGAAATTCTTTATAATAAGAATCATGAAATGAATTATCTTAAGATTCTTATTAGATAATAAAAACAATTCTTAAAAAGTCTGCTCACAAAGACAAATAGAAGCTACCTGTGTTGCAGTGATAGAACTCTCTTTGTTTTCCTCTTCCTGAATTCTATAACATGCTTAAATCCTGTAAAACTTTCATATTAAGGCACTTTTAAATTAATATTTTAAAAAGCATGCAAATTTTGCAGAAAATAAAAATTTGAACTCTAGGTTAAAGTTATTTTATTCAGTGTAAGTGCTCTTTGAGGTAGCATGTTTGGAAAATGGCTCTGAAGTCAAGTGTACTGGTTTGAGGATTGGTTTTGCGGCTTGTTAACCAGGGAACTTTGGGCAAGCAGCCACATCCTCTCTCTACCTTCATTATTTTTATCTGAAAGCAAGTAAAAATAATGTCTAGTTCATTCAGTTGTTCTAATGTTGAATTCACCCAGGTAAAGTGTTTAAAACTGAGGATTTCCCACTAACTAGACAAAAATGTTTATGAATTTATAAGCGGGAATAGAGCTGTAGCTCAACAGAACAGCACCTGCCTATAATAAGTAAAGCCCTCAGTTTCATTCCCAGCATGGCACCCCTACAAAAAGTAAGAGAAAAAAGTCACATATAGATTGAGAATTCTGTTAAAAGGATATAAGCAACTTATAAAGCTCTAAATAGAAAGAATTGGTTGTAAGTGGAACTGAAGGAATAAAAAGCATTTAAGGAAAGAATATTATTTGTTACAAATGAATCTGCAGAGATAAAAATGCTTAAAAGAGATGGAAAAGAGTAATAAACTGAAAGTCAGAAAAGATGCTAACGCTATCCTTAAAAGTCTGGGTTTGGTGAGTAGGCTAACGAAGGAAATCGAGATGATTCCCTATGCATGAAACTACACACTATATCTGACACATAGCCACCTACTCAAACATAAATGGCAGCCAGGTGTGGTGGTATATAGCTGTAATTCCACCACTCTAGGAAGTTGAGGCAGGAGAAATACAGGTTTTGGCCCAGCCTGGGCAATTTAGCAAGATAAAAAATAAACTATAAAATGAATAAAAATAATTTAAAGCGGGGAAGGATGCTGGGGATGTAGGTCAGGGCAAAGGCTCTGGATTGAATTTCCAGTACAAAATACATATATAAAATAAACGTCAGTGATTATTAAGGCTTGGTAAAATTAACTAGTATTAACTAACTCTCCTGAAATTTTCTCTTATGTTCATTTGTATAAAACATTAAACATTACTAAGAAAAACTCTTATGATAGTGCTTAATGCCTAACATGAAGAAACAACCAAAACTTTCTTTAGAAAGTATATATCTAGTACAAAGCAAAATCAATGTCTTATTATCATCCCTATTTCAGAAAATATACTTATTTTCTCTAGCAAAAAGTCTATTCACACTCCACAACATTTTCTTAAACTAGTTATTAGTATTATAGTATACTATTATCACTTCAAAGCTCAGTTTGTATTTTTTCCCATCATAATATTTCCTGACTCTAATCACTAAACCGTCAAAGCAGTGTTGAGAGGACTGAACTTCATAAATAAACACACTGATTTCAGTAAGCTCCCCAAAACTTTCAGTAAGGCTGATACTCTAGTACATTATTATACTACTGGGATGATACCAGGATACACATGTGATCTGAATTATGCCTTACTATGACTATTTGACATCATATATACATATACATATATATATATAAATAAAAAACAGTGACTCTATCATATGATGAAGGTGTGTAGCAGGCTATACCATTTAAGTTTGTGTAAGTACCCTGTATGTACAAGGACAAAATCACCTATCAACACATTTCTCTGAAGAATCCCATCCCTAGGTAAGGCATGACTGTGTATTTTATATATGTTATATATATGTTACAGATAAATGATTGTAGCCGTCACTAGAACATAAAGCATATTAGATGTTGTCTAAAGGACACGTCAAAGTAAGTGTGCAAAACATATGTATATTTCTATTTTATCTTCAGGGTTGAATCAAATTATCTTGTGAAATAATACCAGGAAGAATACTAGTTTTAATGCAGCAGTATCATTAAAAATGATACTTGCATCTTCTAGTACAGTCATATGCTATGTAATGATATCTTAGTCAAAAAGAGACCACACACAGAATAGTGGCTAGACCCTATGGCCAAACTGTGTAGTAGGCTATCCCATCCAAGTCTGCATAATTACTCTCCATGATTTTCACACAAGTATGAAATCATCTAATGGCATGTTTCACTGAAGTATCCCATCCCTAAGTTAGACACGACAGTATATCATTTAATTTCTCAAGCATACACGTAGCAGATTATTTAAAGTGCCTTTTAAAATTATATTTAAGCTTTATAATAAATTTTAAACTTTAACTATGCAAGAATTATACTGAATAAAGAACAAAATTTTTACCTAGCAGCACAGTCATAAGCCAACACATCAGTCTCTGCAAGAAGGTCCCCATCAGTTTCATGATCTCCTCCATCTGGACCCAACTCAAACAGCTGGGGAAAAAGGAAAAACAATGTTCCCCAATTATTAATTTTATAAATCTGCTGAAAAATGTGTTTATAATTTTGTGAGCATCCAATATACACTGACATACACAGAAAGTAAAAGTAATGTGGCATGGAAAAAGGAAAGATGTAGAACATGAAAAAATGGTTATATAAATGAGGGAACCAGAGTATAGGTAAAGAAAAAAGAGGAAAAGATATCAAATGGGAAATGCTTCTGAGATTAAGTGAAAATAAAGGCAAACTATAAGGGAAGAATTTTTTAATGGATTAATATGTATTTTTTAGAATGTTTTTCTCTTTAGAACTATGTAAGTGAATTACAAGCAAGGCAGATAAAATATTAAAAATGTATTAAAGTGAACTGACAGGTATTGTGTGAGGTGTCTAATGTTTTCAGTTACATCCTGTTGATTTGGAAATCTATCTCTAGCCTAGATCTTCACCCCAATAGTCACTGAACAATGCCTTTTCCCATATAACTTGACTTTACTATGTCTAAAATTATTCATCTTTTTTCTTCTGGTCTTTATTGCTCTGATTGGTGATACCTTTTTTCACTTGATCACTCAGGTAAAAACCCTAGAATAGTCCCTTTTCTATATTTTGGTCATTATTCTATCTATTCTGTTCTCTAGTGTAATTGTAGCACTATTGCTGGCTGAAACATTACTATGATGACCTGTCTTCTTAGGTCTTTTGCCTCCCTGACTTAGCCCATGGACAATGAAGGTGAAGGATTTTGCTTTGCTTTAATGACTCCTAGTACTCAGGAAAGTAAGTACCTGATCAGAACACTTTCTTAATCTGAACGTTTTAGTGTTTTCTCACCTTCTTCATAGCATCATATAAAGGTCCATAATGATTTGCCTCTCCTTACATTCAAAACTACTAGAATACATACTGTGTGCCAGCAACAGTTTAAGAACTGGGCATACAAGGTAAACAAGGCAATTAAAAAAAAAAATGAGGGCTACTGGGTGTGAGTTTGTAGTAAGGCTGACCAGGAGCAGAAGTCAGAAACTGCTAAGAAATGGGCCATGCAGATATTGAAGAGAGCTGTAGTTAGAATAGCGAAGCAAAGGTCCTGAAGCTTGACATGTTTAAGAAAGAATAAGCAGGCCAGTGTGACATGAATGTGCAGCAATGAATAACGTAAGGTCAGAGAGGTATGGGAAGTGAGTTCCAATGGGATCTTGTAGGGATCTTATAAGGCTTTGGCTTTTACTCTAATACACAAAGATGCCAAAGGAGTTTAAACAGGAATGGCATACTGCTGCGTGCCATTTAAAGAGACTCTGCCATGTTGTCAACTGATTGAACTGGGCAAGGAAAGAAGCAGAATACAAGGTGGGAGCCTACTTTAATCACTCATATGAGAATAGTTACAGCACGGACTAACTTAGTTAACAGCTGTAATTTTTTGAGGTGGATAGTCTGTGGATTTATTTTCAAAGTGGAGCTAAAAATATTTGCCATGAAGTGCATATAAGTGTGAGAGGTGGAGAGAAATCAAAGAAGACTCAAAGATTTTTGGCCTAAGCAACTATAAAAATGAAGTATATTCTAAGTTAATGAACTGAGATAGGAAGAATGTGGGTGTAATCATCAGAAACATAGTTTTGAATGTATTACCTCCAAAATTAGACTTTAAGCAGAGGAGAAAAAATACTTAAGAGGCATGAGGCTGGATCACACTGGGGATGAGTATAATAAACACACACATGTATATATATGTGTGTGTATATATATGTGTGTGTATATATACATTTTAATTTTTACTTTACAAATGAATAATTGAGACAGGGTCATACTCAAACTTGTGGGCTCAAGTAAATCCTCCTGCCTCAGGCTCCCAAGTAGGAAAGTATGTACCACTGCCCCAGCTGGACTAAATATACTCCAAAAAGATGTTGAAAAATCAAACACTTAGAGCTTAGCAAGACGAACAACTGGCAGGATACCAGGAAAGCAATAGGATAGAAGAAAAGTGAAGTATCTTGAGAGCCAAGTGAGGAAAGTATTTCAAAAGAGAGCCTCAACTGAATTAAACTGGGATGACTGGTTAAGGAAAGTAAGGACTCTGATTTGACCACTGGCTTCAGCAATATTAAGTATCATTAGTGTCTTGACAAGAATAATTTCTGCAGAGTAAGTGGGGCAAAAATCTGACTGGACTGTGTTAAAGAAGAGATAGGAAGATGAAAAAGGCAAAAAGCACAGAAGATTAAGAACATGAACAAAGACGATTTAGTTCATTAATCTAAGACAAATAGTCTGGGCTGGTAATGGAAGAGACTTTGCCCAATTAAGAAGGAGATCTAGGTTGCTGGCTTCTATACCAAACATATGGTGGGTGGTACTATTCATCAGACAGGGATCGCTGAAAGAGAGCTAGGTTTTAGCGGAAGAATATGAATTCAGGTGAGAGGTAACAACTCTCACTGACATGTCTTTAGAACATTTACATGGAAATACGTTAATAAAACAGAAATACACCTGGAAAGAAAATTTGAGCACCATGGCATGCTGATGACTACTGAAACTTCAGGCTTAGAAAAGAATGCCTAGGAAAAAACACAGTGTGAACAAGAAAGGCCTTAGGCTAAGCCTACAGAATTCCACCTTTAGTGGTCAGGAAGAAGCCATTTATTTGTTTTTTTTGTTGTTGTTGTTGTTTTGTTTTGTTTTTTTGTGGTACTGGCAATCGAACTCACAACCTTGCACTTGCCAAGCAGGCGCTGTTGCCACTGAGCTAAATCCCCAGCCCCGAGCCATTTATTTGTATACAAATATACAAAGAAACACTTATGAAAACAAAAGAAAAAACAACCAAGGCTGGGAAAAAAATACCTTAGAGAGGAAAAGGTAGGAATAAAAAACAATGTTGTTGGAAAGCCTCAGGTTCCAGGGAAAGGGAGCAGTGAGGAACAATTTGAGGTTGCAAATAAAAGTAGAGCCAATGTAGGATAACATATATAAAGGAGCACTATAGAGTTGAATACTGCCAAACAAAATAAAACAACTCATAAGGCAATAAAATAAAATAAAATACATTTTATATATATATATATTTCAAGCATGGTCTCACTATGAAGTGCAAGCTAGCCTCATTTATGTAGCTCAGGCTGGCCCCAAACTCATGTTGATCCTCCTGCCTCAGCCTCTCAAGTGCTGGGATTACAGGCGTGTGCCACTATGCCTGGCTCTCTCTATCTTCTTGATAGGCTTATTAGACACTGTTAACTAGTACTGGATAACTTACTGAATTTGCTTCTCCACCTCAACAATGACTCAAACCATACTAAAATAACCATTTTGAAGGAGTTGTACTGAAATAAGCCAAAGTATTATGTTTTTTAGTGTCAACAATATGTGCTACAAGTTTCCTTAATTATTATTCTATTCCTATAAATCATATGAATACAGAAGCTTTTTATTTTTACTTAATTCATTTCTATCTATCTTTTTAGTATGTGTATTATAACTAGAAATAAGCAAATACTTTTCAAAAGTTTATCTCCTAAGACAAGGTTGCCTACCATCATCACTCTTGTTCAACATAGTTTTGGAAACATTAGCCACAGCAAATAGATAAGAGAAAGAAATAAGAAGAATATGCTACATAAAAGACCTCCAAAACTCCACCAAAAGACTCTTAAAGTTAATAAACAAATTTGGCAGCATGGCTGGATACAAAGTCAACACTCAAAAACGAGTAGCATTCCTGTACATGAATAACCAACTCAGTGAGAGAGAAATTTGGGAAATTACACCTTTCACAATAACATCAAGAAAAATGAAGCACTTTGGAATTAATTTAACAAAGGAAGTGAAAGAACTATACAATGAAAACTACAGCGCTCTGAAAAAGGAGACTGAAGAGGATACGGAAGCATATCCCTTGTTTTTGGATAGGTAGAATCAATATCATGAAAATGGCCATACTTCCGAAACCATTACATAGATTTAAAGCAATCGTGATCAAAATACCAAAAGCATACCTCACAGAACTAGAGAAAACAATCCTTAAAGTTCACATGGAACCAGAAGTGACCTAGAATAGCAAAAGCAATTCTGGGCCACAAGCGCAAGGCATCACAATCACTGATCTCAAGTCATACTACAAAGCTACCATGATAAAAACATCATGGTATGAGAAAAAAACAGACAAGAAGATCAATGAAACAGAATAGCAGATGCAGAAGTAACTCCAATACACTCAGCTACCTTACCTTGGAGAAAAGGTCCAAACACTTCCACTGGAAGAAAAATAACCTCTTTAATAAACGGTGTAGGAAAACTGGCTGTCCACATGCTTAAGACTAAACCTCTCACCAGGCACTAAACTAAAATTGAAATGGATCAAATATCTAAATATTAAAACAGAAATAATCTGCTGGAAAATAAAATAGGTAAAACTCTTAAAGACGTAAGTGTAGGCAAAGACTTTATGATCCAAACTCCAACTGCACATGAAATATTCCAAACAATCAACTGGGCTATCATCACAACAGAAAGTTTTTATACAGCAAAAGAAATCACCAAGAGTGAAGAGACAACACACACAACTGGAAAAATTTTTTGCAGCTATTCCTCAGACAAAGGACTAATATTTAGAACATACAAAGAACTGAAAAAAATTAGACCCTCCAACTTAAAGACCCAATCGAAAAATGGGCACCTGCAATGAGTAGAAACTTCTCAGATGAAGAAGCAGAAATATCAAATAAATATATGAAAAATGTTCAACATCCCTGGTCACTAGAGAAATGAAAATTAAAACAACACTAAAATTCCATCTCACTTCAGAAAGAATGGCTATCATCAAGAAATTAACTAACAACAAGTGCTGGCAAGGTTGTGGAAGAAAGAACCTTTCTCCACTGTTGGTGGAAGTATAAACTGGTACAATCAATATGGAAATCGGTATGGCAATTCCTCATAAAACTAAAAATGGAAATTAGTATGGAGATTCCTCAAAAATGAAAACTAGAGGTTCCATTTGACTCACCTCTTCCCCTTCTTCATATTTTCCCAAAAGGTTAAAAGCATCATACTACAGAAATATGTGCAGCACACCCATGTTTATGGCAGCACGGTTTGTAATGGAAATAGCCTAGATGCCCATTAACGGATGAATGGATTCAGAAATGTGGTTTTTATATATAATAGAGTACTACTCTACTAGAAGGATAAACTTGAGACATTTTTAGGTACATGGATGCATCTTATGACCATACTTTTAGGTGAATTAAATTGGACATGTATGTGTAAACATTGCATTATTTTTCTTGTGTGAGAAACTAAAAGCATAAGTAAGGATCAAAATGGATGACAGATATTGGAAAGTAGGAAGAAAATGTTCAAATGGGAAGGAGAACAGGAGGGTGTGAGGAAAGAAAGGGAAAAGGGAAAAAAAGAATAGAAATGAAAAAATAGAAATCAAGTTTTTATAAATAAAGAGGGGAAGAAGGGTTGAAGAGGGGAGAGGGGTGGGAGAAAAAAAGAATCAAGATATATTAAGTACAGGTACAAATTCCCAATGGTGAATGTGATCATTATGTGTATATCAAAAGTATATCAATAAAATTAATTAAAAATAAAGTTTATCAGTTCTGGTTGCCTATACAGGGCATGTGCTCAAAAACTATTGTTATACAAGAGTTTTGATATATTAACATAATTTTTAGATGGTATTGACAAAACTAAGAAAACACCACCTGATCAAAAAGAGTATCATAACTGAAAATTTTTTATGAAGCATGCTGCTGAAATTAAGGCACAAACAATAGCTTTTTTTTTTTTTTAAGAATATAAATGTTCAATGTCCCTGGCCACTAGAGAAATGCAATTGAAACACAGATTTCATCTTACTCCAGAAAAAATAGTCGTCAAGAAATCAAATAAGGGGGCTGGGGATTTAGCTCAGCGGCAAAAGCGCCTGCCTGGCAAGCGCAAGGTCGTGAGTTCGGTTCCCAGT